CATCACACACATTCATCTCAAGTTAACTCACACCTTTACCAACCACTCAGACTTTGACCGTCAGATGCCATGTTGGTAAGTACCGGTATATCAAAACGATGGAAGAAAAAGAGTTCCTGTGCAAGAAGTCAGCTGAGACAATCTCCCAAATAATAATGGGTTATAAAAACATACACAATCTAACCCCAGTCTAATTCAAGTCCTCTTCTAAATGCCTTCTACTCAAACCCTAGGCTAACTAACTTCTGTCTGAAAACTGAACTTCCAACTATCATTCACCAGCCTTACACAAAATTCCTCAAACATTCTACAAATCAGAATTTACTCCATTTTTTCTCTCTTCACTCCCAGCAGCTACTTACTTTATACTCTAAAATACACACAATAGACCACATATTTTCAAATACAAACCCATGACATCACAGTTGTCACTGAACTCCAATGATATCCTAGGAACCTAAACCATGTCTGAATTCCAAACTTGAATATTTGCGGTTGAAAAGACAGTTAAGTATAGATTTTTTTAAAAAATGCTAGCCATAAGGAATTGTGTATGTTTTTATAACCCATTATTATTTGGGAGATTATCTCAGCTGACTTCTTGCACAGGAACTCTTTTTCTTCCATCGTTTTGATATACTTACCAACATGGCATCCGACGGTCAAATGAGACAATACATTTAACACATATTTAGAAAAAGTGTCCCCTCAAGAGGTGAAGACATTTGTTTGTCATAGCACATGATTTCCCTCACCTCTGTATCTTGGATTTAGTGTGCTTTATGTTGTGCCGGCTCATAGGAGAAAGTAAACATGGGTTTAATTTGCAATCCTGATTTTGAAGCCACGCATCTGTGACAAAACCTTGATGTAGGAGGGGAAACAGGTTATCAGAGGAAACATGCCTTCTCCTTCATGTTTAGCTTGACAAGGCACTAAGAGGTTTGATGTTTTAGAAGGCTGTAGATTATCCTCAATGTTTGTTTTTAGAAGATAAGCTGTACACTGGATACAGGCTATGACTCCAGGTGTAGAAAGGATGGCGGAAGGCGTCTGCTAGAGAGAAAGGGAGGAGGTATTTTGGGACTTTGAAAAGCACCGGCAAGGCTAACATAAAGCTGTGTATTAGTGGACCGCTGCCAAAGAAGCTGGGAAGAATGTGAAGTCATTAGCTGAGGGTTACCTAAGGCAGAGCGTGGGGGAGAACAAAGAGGGATCCTGCTGGGCAGCCATAGGGTGGTGCGCATTCCACGGTTTTCTGGAATATTCCCAACTAAATTAAACTATAAAGCAATTGCACTGTTACGAGTTTGGCAGTCCAGCCCGGCAGGCAACACTTCCTTACCTGAATAACCTCATTTACAGGAACAGCAGGGCATTGGAGTGCCTCTCTTTGACGGAGAGCTTTGAAAAGTTGCCTTGGGGGCTACACTTCCCAGAATCCCTCAACCAGCATGCTCTGTGGCCATGCTAGCTAAGAGATTTTTGGGAACCGAAGCCCCCAAGGTAACTTTTCTAACCTTTGCCTAGAAAGAGAAGGAATTGGAGCTGATGTGTATGTTGTGCATAAGGGATGGCGGGATTCAGTCCCGATTGCAAAAGAGAAAGTGGTGGGAGCAGTTGCCTACGTATTGCAAACACTGAAGTCTCCGTGCTAAATGTTTCCTTCAAGACTATATTCGGCAGGTGTCTTGTCTTGTCTTGTCTTGTCTTGTCTTGTCTTGTCTTGTCTTGTCTTAATGTGGGGAAGCAATTTTGTTAAATGACAAGACATCTCCTAGCAAGAGGTGAGTTGAACTGAGAGCTCTGAATTCTTCCACATATTCTGCACAGATTGATATTGGTTTCTAAAGTGCTGGAGACAGATGTTACCATTCAAAGATATACTGTGTTTCTCCGAAAATAAGACACTGTCTTATATTTATTTTTTCTCAAGACACACTATGGCTTATTTTCAGGGGATGTCTTATTTTTATTAAGTATGGTACAACAAAGGGTTGCCCATCTTCTTTACTGTTCTGCGCCTGTACACTGCATAGCCAATGCCTATCACTATGTCTTATTTTCAGGATATGGCTTATATTGCACAAATGCTTAGAAATCTTGCTATGACTTATTTTATGGATATGTCTTATTTTGGGGAAAACAGGGTAGCTGTGTTAGTCTGTAAAATCAATATGGAAAGAGATCTTGTAGCACCTTTTAGTTAGTCTCAAAGGTGCTACAAGATCTCCTTCCATACTGTAGACAGATGTGTTTGTAGATTTGGAGGGTGCTTTGAGGCATGAAATCATGATTCTCACTGGCTGAGGAAGAGACCTAACCTAGCAGATAACCTAGGACTATAACCTCTCCCGTTCCACACTTCAACTCAAATGTGCAAGGGCAGAAATCAAGTTGTGCTCTCTGGCCCAATTCCCAACCTCCACGTGAGAAAATATTCAGCTTCTGCTCAATATGGGAAATTGGGAGATGGACCAGGGCCCCAGTTCTCTTTCCTCTTCATCAGTTCAAACCATAGAGAGAATCAATAGTAGGAATAAGACCTCCTTTTACTAAGACATCACAACTCTCTTTAGATGCAGGAAATGTATTGCATCTGGCAGGGAATACAACACTTCTGGAGTAGCCCAGACTGGTAAAGTATCAGCAGCCAGAGCCTCTCCCTTGGCTTGCTCAAGTAATTGGTATTTTTAGTGCCCTCTACATCAGGCCACCACCTCCTTCAGCTGATGGGAGAGACACTAAATGCCACCCCAGCTCTGTCTTGCCACCCCCTCTTTTTAAAATTGTAACAGTGCTTCTTTTCACAAGGGTGGCTGGTCATGAAATTTCTCACATGTTACAGGGGGAAACACTGTGGTTGACTTTAATACAGTCTCTCTCCCCAAAAAAAGATAAAAACAGCAGTTGCTGATGCTTCCAGTAATTGTGGATTATGTTGCTCGCTCTGCCAACTATTCATTTCCCACTGTGTAAACCTCAGCAAAATTTGCTAACAGTATAGAAAGGAAAGCCGAAACACACTGTACTCTGAAGGCATCAGATCCTGTCTAATTTTGGAAACTAAGCAGGGTCAGATCTGATTAGTACGGTCACCCCTCTGTTTTCAGGGACTTGAAGTCTGCATCCCTCACCCATTTGCAAGGTAGCAAAAGGAGGGGGACAAAATGAGCCGTGCACCAATGGGGCATGAATATTTGCGGTTTACCAATTACTTGAGCAGGCCAAGGGAGAGGCTCTGGCTGCTGATACTTTACCAATCTGGACCACTCCTATGGGGCGTGAACATTTGTGGGTTTCCATTTTTGCAGGGTGGGTGGGTCCAGAATGGCTCCCCTGTGAAAATGGAAGGGCGACTGTATTTGGATGTGAGAATGCCAGGGAATATCTGGTGCTTGAGCTATATTTCAGAGGAAGGCAATGGCAAATCACCTCTGAGTATTCTTTGCTTAAGAAAACACTATGAAATTCATGGAGTTGCCCTAAGTCAACAGGTGACTTGAAGGCACACATGTATATACCGTATTTTCCGGTGCATAAGACGACCCGGCGTATAAGACGACCCCCCATTTTTCCAGTCAGTTTGTCAGTTGATTTATCTGCTTACATCAGCACTTTTAATTTCAAGTTTGTTGTTTTTGTTAAATTTGCCTGTTATTTGCTGATGCAGAGGTCCTCAAACTACGGCCCGTGGGTCACATGTGGCCCACCAAAGACATTTATCCAGCCTCCGGGTGTTTTGCCACCGCTGCCTGTCCTGCTTAGCAGCCGACTTGTCCTGGGCCTGCAGTGCACATGTCCAGCCTTCCAATGGTCTGACGGATAGTGAACTGGCCCCCTGTTTAAAAAGTTTGAGGACCCCTGATCTAGACAGTAGTACCCAAACCAACGGATTCCAATTACAAGAAGTGAGCTCTTAACTAAACATTAGAATTTACTGATGAAATAGATTCTCTGACAGTAAATCGGACTGTTCCAGCAAGTGATGACTTTTCTTTGTTGGAAGCTTATAAATTATGGCTGAATGGCTATCTATCAGGGATGGGTTAGTGGTGGATCTCTTGCACTGGCAGGGAGTTGGAATAGATGACCACTGGGAGGTCTATGACTCCAAGTGATTTAGTGACCTTCTTAAAATGAGTTCATTTAGTTTCATTACCCACAAAAACATACAAACACACCCCAAAACCTGCCCCCTTTTCATCAGGCAGACACCAAGCTTTTTAATTGTGCAAGGAAAAGCTGTATGAAAACGGTTCCCTCAATGCAGAGTCCAGACGACTATTATAAATAATATTAGCAGTCAACCGACCAATGATTCTTCTTGTTTGGACAGTGAAAAAACGGGAGGCAGCTGAGGTGAGAAACAAGTGGGATTGGGAGAAGGACCTCTATCTACTAATCCTCATTAGAACAGAGCAATACTGCCTGGTCTTACTATTAGGCTATCACTTCAGGCAGTAGATGCTGGGAGTTAACAGCAAGGAGTTGGAGGAGCTGAAGGCACTGTGTATACCCCCCTAGACCACCTAAGCAAACCTTGTCTTCTGATGCACTGGAGATATAGTCCTATAGACACTGTTGAAGTTTAACAGTCGGTGCTGTTGACTTCTGTATATGGAATGGTGAGGGTGTGCCATTTTGTTCTTTACCTCCATTTCTTTGCAGGTTACTGCTGCACCACTTGGCTCATGCACACTGCTCAAATAAAAATAAAATGAAAAATGAAAAAAAGATGGAAATAACATTCTGGTTGAATAGAGAGACATTTGAAACAGCCACAGTTTTTATTTAATTGCACTAAGTGGAGCAAGTTTTGGAAAGCAACAGTAGGATTCCTATTGTTGTGTGCCTTCAAGTTGTTTCTGATTGATGGTGACCCTAAGGAAGACCTATCATGGGGGTTTCTTGGCAAGATTTGTTCACAGGAGGTTTGCTATTACCTTTCCCTGAGGCTGAGAGCATATGACTTGCCCAAGATCACCCAATGGATTTTTTCACCAAGCAGGGAATTGAACCCTGGTTTCCAGAGTCATAGTCCAACACTCAAACCACTGTGCCAACTCTTTATTTCTATAGGACCCTTAATTCTCAAAATATTGTGTAGTAGTACCACAACTGCATCTCACTCATATTACACAGAACTGCAAAGGGGAGACAGAAAGCCATGGGGCTTAGACATTGGGGAGACTACAGGACCCTAATTATACATCACTCTACTGGAACGATCTCGTCTTAGTAATATTAATAGCTCAAGAAGACATATTTGTCACTAACATATATGCCATTAAGATTTCAATGGGTATACTCTATGTATGATTAAGTTTGGATACAGCCTACTATTTGCTCCTATGGCAATATAGGCAATGTTGCTGTATAAAACTGATGGTCTGGGTTCCCATTCTACTTTCCATGAGAAATTACTGTTATTTGGGAACCTCAGGAGGACACACATGTCCTTCAAAAGGGCACATACAGTTCAGCCCCCCATTTCTTTCCCCAGTTGCTTTGTCCGTCCCATTAAGCCACCTGTCAGCATTTCCTGCTATAGTATAGTGCAGGGGTAGGCAACCTTTTTGAGGCTGGGTTGCTGTCCCTCAGACAATTGGGGGCCGAAGCA